GCAAAGAAAATGGCAGTTGGATACTTTTGGAAGAATGGAGGGCTTGCATGGTGCGCCATCACGGAGGGCCGTTTTCGTTTTGTAAATTTCAGTGTCAATGAGGTACGTTGCGTCTTACATGGCGCACTGTGCAAGTACTGTACATGTATATAGATGACTTTCTTGCTGAGTCACCGCGTCATAGTTACCAAATGGGCAGCTTTAATTGCTATTTTGTAACGATATAAGCACTCACATTTCACATTTGATGAAGGTTTGCAGACGTGACGTTTAATTTTAGAAACGCTTATAAATTAAACCATTTTAATGTATACAGAGATTGTTGTATTCTTTTTTTTCTTTCTATAAAAATTAAACTCTGATCATAAGGGATTCCCATCATTTGTCCATATCGTTTCGCTGTTTTCCTTGATGATGAACTGTTATATCAGTTCTCTGTAGATATCTGCCAAACGTCCGCAGAACTATTTTTAAAATGTTTTTTTTTTGCGTTGGGGAGATGTTAATTTATATAACGGGTTTTGGCCTTACCCAATGTATATATATTAATAAACACTGTATGCCCAGTGCTTGTCCGAGAGCTTGCGAAAAAAGTCATAAGCAGGAGGTCGTGGGTTCGAGTTCCACCCTAATAAGCTTATGACTTTTTTCGCAAGCTCTCGGACAAGCACTGAGCATACAGTGTTTATTAATATATACGTTGGGTAAGGGCAAAACCCATTACATAAGTCCTCCGAACTGTTTGAAAATCATGCTCTGCATCACATCTTTGTTGTCGACGGGGGCGCTTTCAAGTTGAGATGTCACACCGCCCTCAGTTCATGGGAGTTCCAAGATGAGCGAAATGCCGGTCGCAAAACTAACTCAACATTTCTGCGGATTTCTGTGGAACACCAAGTTGAGATTCCGTAAAAGTGACTTTCCGTGGCTTACGTGCACGTTCAGCACCATTGCAAGTTAGGTTTAGCTACTGAAGAGTTAAGTGTAAATCTACGGTACTACGGGGCTCTGTGCGTGCCATCCGACTGGTTCAGATACCGAAATAATTTGTCTTATTAAGTCGATTTATAAAGCGTATTTAGTCGATTTAACGAGATAATTGATTTAGTCAAGTCCACTTCCTAATTCTAGCAAGTTGACTTCGCGAGGCATTTTATGAAATCAAGTCTGCTTCTGAAGTTCCCTGTATCGACTTGGCGAGATAATTTATGTAGTTAAGGTGACCTCCTAATTCACGTGAGTCGACTCAGCGAGGTAATTTATATCATCAAGTCCACTTCTGGAATTCGGTATGTCGACTCGGAGAGATACACGGAGCTGCACTTCCAGAGCTTCGTAATTATCTTTCCAAGACCTTAAACATTCAGGAAGTCGGATTGACTTCATAACTTTTCTCTCCAAGTCGTCTTCCCACAATCGTAAAGTTGACTTGACAACATAAATTATTTCGCTGAGTTGACATCACGAATTCCAAAAGCAGACTTGATGGCATAAATTATCTCGCCAAGTCGTCTCGCCAATTAAAGGAGTCGACTTAACTATATAAATAATCTCACCAAGTCGACACAGGGAATTCCGGAAGTAGACTTGATGTCATGAAATATCTTGCCAAGTCGACTTGCTACTACTTGGAAGTCAACTTGACAGCATCGTGTATCTCGTTAAATCGACTAAATACCCCTTATAAGTCGACTCAATAAGATAAATTATCTTGGTATCTCAGCAAGTCGGAGAGCGCCGTATAAAGCAGTTATGTTGCTGGTCATTGCGTAAAACGCTACGAACGTCACCTTGGCCCAGAAACCTTTCTAGGGTGCGTTGGTTGACATCGTGTGATGCTGCCAGTTATTCATAGTAAACAAGGCCATATTTTGGTACGTCATGGTACCAGTCAAAACAGATTGTATAAGCTCTAGAATTTCAATGAGATCACCAACATAACAGAAGAAGTCACTATTCACAAACGGAAACTGGCGCTCTCTAAAAAATGCCAAAAGCAACAAAGCAATTGTCTGCGCTCGCCCGCGTGACGTTCTGAATGCGTGTGTGAAGAGTTTTGATTGAGTGCGGTATGCCAGTGTGCATCAGCCGATTGAGAATCCGCCATATTGATTGGATTTGAGTTTTGGCACAAGTCTGTCTTCGGTGTCCTGTACATTGCCGCTGAGCCGACTCGTCTTGAGGGCGGAAGGATGGTGAAGTTAGCCGTGAGCACTTCGACGGAGGTGCACGGAGGTAAAATGCCTCTTCAACAGAAAGAACCGCTCTCGGATGGCTCGGTCAAAGTTCCCGTAAGTCAGTGGAATGGTTTCACTACTACTAGGATAAAACTAGTTCAGAAAAACATCAGTTCATAAGAAGCGATCACACTGTGCTCGAAAGAACGAGGGCACTTTAGCTGGAAATGCAATTCGCGGATAGACAAAAGTTACCTCGTGTAGGCCTAGTTCATAACAGAAAAATTGCCAGCCTATATCGGGCTGAGATGTGTGTATTTGCAACCATGCCGTGTGCAGTTGATGGCGTTATAAAGTTTAACTTCTTGCTGTTGTCACTAACAGAGATACAAAATTTCTGGGAAAGGGTTCCCCCAAACGGACGCCACTCGACACCCAGCGCACAAACTCTATGAGACTGGTCTGAAAACTTGTGTTTTCTCAGTAAACGACTTGGTATTTTGGCTCCTAAATTGAAATTTGCTGGACATGGTTTTGCTCTCTGATGGATAAAAGGTTACTTTAAGGAAAGTACTGGCGTCCGTATAAGGAACTCTTCCCCCGGGAAAAATTTTTCTCTAGCTTTCTATCTTACTAAAAAATCATCCAATCTAATTCGGAAACAAATAGTCCTACGTCAAACTTTTTATTTTAAGTTTAAGTTAAAAAATAAATAAGATAAAAAAAATTAATGGATCTCATAAGCAGACCGTAACTTGTGTCTCATCTGTTCGTCTTGGATTATTGTCTGGAATGGTTTTTCTCTGCGAAACTCCGTGAATGTACAGTGCATTTCCTTTCACTGTGATCCGCCTGCTCGCACGAATCGACAGGTGGAAAGAGAGACTGTGGTGCACATGAGACAGGCCGATAGACGCTGCACCAGACGGCAGTGGTTGGGAGTCGGTATCGCCTTCTTCATCCTGCTGGTCGCGTGCGGCACGCTGGCCGGCTACTACTTCAAGAAACACTGCGATGGATGCCAGCTCCAGGAACTTGAAGTAAGAAAAATGAAATTCATTTCGGAAAGAGTTCCATAATACGGACGTCACTTGACACCTTGTGGGCAAACCCTTTGGGGCTAATCAGAAAATTTCTGTTTTCTAAGTTAACGAATTGGCCCTTTTCCTTGTAAATTGAACTGCTCCGGACATGTTTTTACTTTCTGATGGCTAATAGGTCATTGGAGTGAAAAATTACTGGCTTCCATAATGTAGAACTCTTCCCTTACGGTTGCTCTTCAAAAGCATTCGTAACGGACATGGTGGTCAGCCGGACATGATTTTAGACATTTGCCTCTGCGAATATCATTCTCATGAGCACAGGCTTGTTTCACAAACGTAGTACAGCCATGATTCCTTTGCTGTTAAGAAAACCGTTGTTTAGACAAATGTGCCTTTTTAAACCAGTACAATTAACCCTTTTGAGCTGGAGTTTTGTTGGTTTCCTGGACTGTTATTCATTTTGCCTCTCACAGTGTCTCTGAAGCTGCTTTCAGAGAGGGAAAAAACACTATGTGGACGTGTGCAAGTCCACACAATATCATTTTATAACCGTAGGTAATGCGGACTTCTTTTTGTGCCGAGGTCCACGTTTACCCTTGCATTTCCCAGGATATATTTTTCGAGGACATGATTTTCGTCCCCATAAGTCTCCTATAAGAAATTATTGTCCCCTTTATGTAGAAAAGCTCTACACACACCAAGATTTGCATCCTTCTCCGCACTATTATACAGGAATATCGATTTCACCACACCCACCGCACGGATGAGACGAAAGACAGGGGCTGGGAGAGTGGTGAGCGCGGAGGTCACAGTGGTGGAGGCCAGAAGAAAGACGGCAGTCGAGAGGGTGACGACGGCAGTCGAAGCATGGGAAACAGGGAGAGTAACGGTGTGAAGAACAGCCGGACCAAGTCCCCGGTCGGTGACAAGAGCGGTGGCCGTAAGGGCAACGACGGCAGCCGCCGACGCACCGGTCACCGCCATCCGGACCGCCAAGGGGGAAGCAAAAAGCACCCAGGAAAAACCCCACCCGAAGGTAACCATTGTCTAACCAAAGTCGCTTAGAAGGTCGACCCACTTCAAGGGTTTCGTGCAGCTGAACAGACACGGCCTTTTTAATAATCGGAAAAAACATTTTCCTGTTTCAAACTCTGCCCGAAAGTGCCCAGTTTGTGGGCAGGATGCCGTACATTCGGTTCTAACCCATCGTGTATGGCGCCCTCTACTATCTGCCTTATTTCAATTAAACGTGGCGGAATCCGCGCAAACCACTCGTGTCACCACGGCAACCTGGCCGGCCATAATTTGAATACCATGGAAATGTTTCCAGAATGTTTGAGTTTTGAGTCGAGGTTTGATTCCAAAAAACTGCAGGGACACCGCAGGTGGAATTCTGATTGCATCTGTCAATATGCTCGTCCACATCTCTTCCTAGTGATTCAAATTTCAAGGGTAAATTTGCCTGCCTGTGCGCGTGCGCATTGCGACCTTAGTAACCGTTTCCAATTCTGGCCATCGGTGTAAGACTTCCTTTCTCTAACGAGGGAAACCCTGCATCCATCCGAACGGTTTCTGTTCCTTTGCAATCAGGCCGTGCCAGTCCAGGAGGCGACGTCGATGGTCACCCGAGGCCGAAGCACCACTACCCGCTGCCTTAATTAAGCCTCTAGTGTCTGACTGGAGCGGTGCCCCTCGTCACAGCAGAGAACCTGGCTGTTACATTTCCAGAGGGCTCATCGATAATTGATTGACCATGTGGACAAGATACACAACGGGTGTTTTACATCAGGGCTGCCCCATACACAATCAGCATTAGTAATCAGTATCAGTGTTTTGGTATATGGCGGTGGAGAGAAAATTTTATGCTAAATCCTTTTTTGAACTCAAGTTATAAATTCTACTTTAGTTAAGCAAGCATTGTGACTGATTATCAGATATATTATCCACCACTATTTTACCATACTTTTATTTATCAATATAACATTTAAACCAAATATCATATGGTACTTTGCTGGACATATATCTTTATATTAAAAGGCAAATGATGTTTCTATACTTTCCAGAAACAAATTCATGTTTTGCAACAACTCAGCTGAAATAAACCAACCGTTTGTTTTTTTTCATTTCATTTATTAAGTTAAGTTAACCCTAACAGTCCCAAATCCTCCGATTTCAGTAGGATTTTACATACACCCTAGGGGGTTAGGGTTAATAATTAAGTTAAGTCAATTAAAGTTAGTTCTCGGTCTGTAATAGGGGTTTGTACACGGCGGCCATCTCCCCTGTCAGTGTTTTTGTTCCGTAAGGATACGCATGAGTAGACTTTGTGCATATCCCCCACAACAAAAGCACTGACCAGGAAGATGGCTGCCCTGCATAACTGTAGCCTATGAGTGAGGTGCTGGGTTCAGTACTAATTGTAATGGGGGGAGGTCTGTCGCCTTAATTAAAGTATTTCGCGTGTTTTTCTTTTCTTTTTTTAATTGATTCAAGTTACTGAAAAACTCAACCGTTGGGGGCGACATTGATAAACTGGCGACTGTTACGAGTCAACCAACCTCATCATAATAGTCACCCGACAAGGGGGGAAATATATGTACTTCCCAGGTCTTTCCAGTGACGAGCACTGTTTCAAAAAGTTCACTGCCTTGTCAAAAACGCTACTTTTAAAAAAGAAGTTGTGGGGTCTTTAGGATGCTCAAAAACTCAAAAATGATAGTAATAATAAACCCTGACTATGGCAGTTTTCCTTCGCAAATGGACGTGTGTAAGTTAGTTTATTTAACTTATGAATAAAATATACCTTTTTTCTAATACTTAACAGGATGTTCTGGTGGCTGCTAAATATTAGTTTTTAACTCCATTCCCAATTTTTTTCGGCTTAAACAATGTAAAATTTTCTGTCGAGGTTTGGGCAAGAAATCATGAATCTTTTGTGCGAAAAGTGCGATAAAAAGGGGAGGGGGTTGTTCAGTCTTCGAAGTGGTGCACCTCCCCTGGACTGAATACCGTCGATGGGGAAATTTTCCTGCCTCACCACGATCAAAATATAGCTTCAGCCTCACGTGCAAGCATCACATGTTTCTGTGGCAGCGAAAGTGAATACTGAAGCATCGTTATAGTCTTGGACAAATCCCTAGCATCCTGGTATGGTATCACACTGGCGGGAACCGTCCACATCCCAGTAGGTTAGGCCTAAACCTAAACTGAAGCGTCAAGCTGCCCCGGTCATGTTTTGGCTGCCGTAGAGCGGGTTTTTCAATCTCTCAACCGATTCACCTGAGAGCTAGAGAGAGTTTGTTTGAACCCGGTTTTCTCAGCGTGTTGTGGTTGCAGGGTGACAGGGTTATTCAAACCCAAAACACCAATACAAAAATCCCCAAGCACAGCTACAAACGAAAATGCGATTATGTTGTTATGACTTGCGCTGTCAGTGTCAATAATAATCCCAGTGCGCAGAGACTTGTGGGTAGATTTGCTGCAGTCCGTCTTGCGTTTGACTTTCCGTCGCAAAAAAACAAGACCGTAAAGATTCTGTATTCAACCACGGAAGAATTTATTTCCTTCCTCCCTTAGTGCTTTTGAAACTTTATGTTCTTGTGGATTTGAAGTTTCTGTATTTCTTGGAACAGGTGATAATCGTTTCATACTAGTCGGGTTCGTAAGTGATTTCGTCACAAAGGCGGACGTGCCACGATTCGCAGGCTCCCATGGGACGATCGCAGAAGTTGCGCGTTAACTTCCGTTTCCATGGCTCCACATAAACGGCGATCAATGCATGTAACCCTATGTGCAGTGCACGTGTACATTGGGCGTGGTTTAACTGAATTGACGTCACACTTACGAACCGGATAACTAACCTAGCCAGCCTATCAGTACAGGCATTATTCACTATCGTTATTCAGAACACAAAATATGGATAAAGAGAGCTAATATTTCTTCGTTAAACCAAACATTTATAGTCTTTGAAATCATTTCCCAACGCCGTTAGAAGTTATAGTGCGGAAGGGGACTCCCATTCATTTCAACTTGCCACTTTGGATGGACTTGCAATCGATCGCAGGCGGTCGACATGCGCAAGTCTAGGGTTTAGATGTCACGTCAGTGACACGGAGGGGCCTCGGAACAAAATATGTAACCTCAGTATTATAATGACAGTGCGTTACGGGGCGGAAGAACAGCGCTGTGGAGAGAACCATTATTTGACGGGTTACATCACATAACAACAAAAGACTGTCAAGTCACGTTTGCTGCACACACGTCCCAGCAAGGTTGACTGTTTGTGTAATCCACACCTCTGCGCAGTAGAACCTCGGTGAACGACGTACGAGCCGTTTCACTGCGCGAAGTTCCCTACCCGCACTCTGACGGCATTACACCGAGTGTGCATCGCATCAGCTCGTGAGGACTGGTAAAACCTCGGTCTTTGGCTTGATCCCTTCACTCACACCTCGCTCTTAGTCGCAGAATTCTCGTCGTCGCACCAGGGGGATTACTCGAAGACATCGTCATGGTGAAGCCTACGATCTTACCGGAGGGGCAAAAGAAGGAGGCCGTCAAAGACGATAAAGGGACGGCGGCCTCTCTGCCTGCGTTCGCCGTTATCCCGGTAAGAGCCGCACGCACACTGCTTGATTAATTGAATGCTCTGCGTACGGGTACGGTACACTGTTTGCATGTTGCTGACCGAGGAATATCGACCGCACATTTACAGGCCCACTCGTAAGTAGTCTGCACCGAATGCAGAGCATCCATTTTCCACCATGACGCCACACTGTTTCACTGAGATTTTTTTTCTAATGTGTAAAATAGTCGGCACTGTGATTACACCCAGAATGGTGGGGTCACGTGTCGACGTCCGTCCGGCTCTCACGAAAAATAGTGATTTGGTTAGTGTGGCCATCATGACCATGGAGGTGTTCCTTCCTCCATGGTGTGGCTTTGGTCTCCTTGGGTTGATTTAAATCTACTGTTAGTTTTGTTTGTTATGTTAATAGGCCCTGTGCCCTAGAGTTTATGATGTACAGTATTTGATGTATAGAACACACAGCAATAATGCATGTCGTCATTGTCGGGATAGATGTTTTTCTAGCTCTACGGTGGGACCACCACTGTATGTTGCCAACCATGTTTGGTGATGGCAAAGTTGATCATGACGTGGGTTGACCTTCGATGTTTTGCATTGGCTGATCGTGTCGAAAATTCCTATGTAGACCTACATGTATATGTTTGGGCGAATCAGATGATGGGTAGGGGGAATGATTGTAACCCTGCAGTGATAGGCAGTTTGACCCGTACGAGCGTTTTTCCTTGACCGCCATGGCTGGACCTGGACGGACCACACCTGACAGGACATTTTGACAGGCAGTTGGGAAGGGGGGTTGCCTTGAGAGAGGAAGGCGCCCTCTAAGTGGTGATGGGGGCTCTGTAATGTACACACCGCCTTGAGCAAAAACATAAGAGAACTCGGAATTCGATTGGAGAAAATGCCGGTTCGGGAATCGTGCATTTCATTGCGTCAAGATATGCTATCGGCATTTGGCAAACAGGCGTTGGTGTGGGACGCTATACAGCCAAGGGCTTGCCCGATTCGGAACTTTTTTAAAAATGATTTTTATAATTATTGACCTCGCAATGGATAGAGATTTTATTATGCGTCTCTGCCGCGTTTTCTCCCAAAGTCAGTTCGTTTCTGGCCGGCATGATCCTTACATGGAAATGCAAGTTAATCTATGATCTACCAGGAACCACCGCTCGCATGGCCGACGTAGCTGGTGTTTCGTGCCCCGTTAAATATTCCAGCTTTTGTTTAATTCATGCCTTGTATGCATCGTTGTTGGAGCATCCATATTCTCCGCGTAGCCCTAGCCAACGGAAATACGTATACCACACTAATTGATGGGTTCGGACCGTACACGTGCAGTCATACGTCCATATACGTCCAGGCCGTGTTCCTATTTCCTTCAAAGAAAGAGGGACTGTCAGTCGCGAGAAGGAAGCAAATGACCTGTCCAACAATACTTAATCAGCTTTGTACAGGCTGTCTAAAGTCTGTCAACACTCGACAAAATCACCGAGTATGGTCTTTACAGGTCTGCTTTTCACAAGCCATGACATCACCACTTTTCTGTATTAAATTCAGGACGTCATCATTTGAATATTCCTGAATGCTTAGGTTATATATTCGCCTCTTTTTGCCACTTCTATTTCGTATCAATTGTGTACAATTTCTCTCTTTTTGGGCCACAAAACCGAAATAACTCTGTGGTTGTTGTTGTTACAACTGCAGTCTCTGTTTCTTTCCAGTCACGAGATCGGGGCAGTTCTGCACAGGCACCGTACTAAGGCCCAACGCCTGTAGTTATAGAACCCTCGAGATAAATGACGATAAAAATATCTAGTCTTGAACTCGGAAGGGAAAATCCCTTACTTTCGTAAAGTTATCCAACCCCTGTATTTGTCCGCCTTTGTGAGATCCAAATCCGGGAGGCAGCGGTGAGAGGCAAAGATATCACCACTGTACCAACCCGACACTCACAATGAAAAACGACTCGTGCAGTGCAGAGCGGTAACAACGGACAGGAAAAGAAGCCGGACTTCGCGATAACCAAAACTTCACGAAAGCCGTCCCCTTCATGCTGACTGACCATAAAATGTTCAAGTCGGAGGATTGTTCAAAACCAATCTTATCATTGCCCCTGATATACCCGCGCTGCCCTGTCAAAACTTCACATGATAACTGGGCCTCGTTATTCTGGCCCAGAAGATCAGTCTCGGACGATTGTGGAAAACCAACCTTATTACCTACGCTGGCCATTTTTCTTAATAACCTGGTAGGTTCAGTATTAAATGGTAAACAAGTGAAATTGACTAGCACCGGCACTGTTTGCGAAACTCTTTAGCGGAAATTTACTACCCCAAAATTATTGACACTGCTTTCTAAGAACATGCGGGACTGGTTTCAACTGGCTCGGCCAAACCACAAGGAAGTGTTAGCAAAAGAAATGTCACATTCATTGTTTGCCAGTGATTCTGCTAACTTGGGTCATGGAATCCGGGTTGGGAATGCTGTGTTACGACGCGAAGAGATGTCAACAGGGCCCAAGTCTATGGTGACTGCTTACCGCAAGCGAATAATCGGCGCCTACCGTATTTCAGTTTCACTGGTTAGCGAGGAATTTTGGCTTGTGCGCATGCGTACACCCCGTAACTTAGGATTCTGTGCTTAACGGGTTGGCGCAGAATTTTTCTGCTTGCGAGGCTAGCGCAGAATGGAGATCTTAAACGCGGAATTCCGCGGTAAGCTGCGCTTAGCTTTCATGGAGCAGCACAAACTTTGCTTAAGCTTGAAAAAACCTTGCTGGACAAATTAGGTCACCAGCCAAAACTCCATATGATGTGGGCATATTGTTTTGGAATGGTATTCACCCGTCTTTTGGTTAGCATGACAGTAACATTTTGAGCTGGTAACCTTAGTTTCTTAAAGAAGGTTTTTTGCGCTTAAGCAAATTTTGTGCTTAAGAGCACTCTCTGCTGTTATAGAGAGAGTTACGACATGAAGGTCTCAGCTGTTGGAACCAAAATGGTGGGTTATGTGTCAGTGCACAGGGACAGTACACACTTAATGAACAGCCATTTTGGTACCGAAGTCTGAAGTTCGGGCTACTCGCTCTACTCGGCACTTCCTTTTTATTTCTACACCCATTACACGTATACGTCTTTGCGGAATACGTGCGACTCACAATAGCGCGCCTCCAAGAGTTTGCAACACGTTGACCCTTGCCAAAGGCCAAACGCGCGTTGGATCGGCATATTTCGCGCATTGTGATTGGCCAACGCGTGGACCAAAAATCTCATCGTTCATCCCTTGCCATTTTCACTTGCGACCGTCCTTTACTTTTTGTGTGACGGGTAAGCCGTGGATGTCTTGTCAAAGGAGGATTTGGAGTCACGATTTAGGCGTCCGAAAAATGTGTCCTGCTTTCTTTGTAAATAACTGTATTCTTTTCTGCTACAACCAGTCTTTATTTTTTTCAGTGCATGAGGGCCTATGAATATATTTTTTCAGCATATAGATGTTTAGTGACTGAAATTTTACGAGGGCGAAATGAAATAATTTGTTTTTGTTCCTGTTATGGAATACCTCTGTTATCAAAAGTAGTTCTTCTTGGAAAGAAGATCCTTGGAGACTGATGCCGCAAACAGTGTTAATCATCTCCCCCTGCGATTTGGTTGGTTGACTGCCATTGTTATTATAAACATGGGAATAGTGCTCCGTCATTCCATGGTCATTCTGAAGTTTGCAATCGTGGACGGGAAGTCGTGTTGAAAACCAAATAAAGAAAAAAGTTCGCCACGATGCCGCGACTGAATGGATCACGAATAACGTAAACACCGGCAATTCATAAGCCATTTGCGAGTTAAATTTGAATAAAGTCTGATACACTGAGTTATTTGATTGCACATCAACATAATTTGAACGCCCCTGACTAAACACTCAGCGGTGAAATCTTGTGATTTGGGGCAAGATTTTGCATAGCGACCACCATCTCTGGAATGGACTGGTTCCTTTGTGCCCTTCTTTTCCATTTTAAGAGTGTATTGTTGCAAAGCGTCTCTTGTGTAACTAAGGAAAAGCTTACCCCGAATCACGAGGTATAGCAAAAGTGGCTTTAGTATGGAGAATTCCAATTGTAATGTTCACGTGAATCGAAAGAACTCAGTGTACCAGATTTTATTCAAATTTAGCTCGCAAAAGGCTTAGGCCGTGTTCCAATACTCAACTTCGTCTCCGTCTCAGGCTTCGTCCCCGAAACCAATCCCCGATTGTGGGCCTGAAGAGTTTAAATTACATTGGATGACTGTAATTTTTGGCTTTCTTGCATCTTATTTGATGTTCTGTGGCACTATTAGACTGATTACTGCGCTTACAGCTTCAAAGTCAGCTAGTAAAAAAAAACAGTGGAAGCCTGAGACGGAACCAAAGTTGAGTATTGGAAAACGACCTTATTAACACGCACATCGCACTCACGGTCACTTGTGCGATTGGAATGCCAATTAAAACACTGTCCTGCGAGACGATGAGTCGTCATATAAATCAAGTTGTAACCATAGCGACTGTGAATGTAAAATGAAAATTATATAAAATCGGTGTCTGGGATGGATTTGCCTCGACAACACGCACGTCATTATAACAGAAAGAGAAAAATTCTGTTGTAAGGCGGATTTATACATGTAACACGTAAACTCTTCTTCAAAAATTCCTGTGTGTATCGGCTCATCGCGCATAGCAGAAACGTGCATAATTTATGAATACACATGCATAATTCATGAGCCACCTTTGCTCTTTCCCTTGAGGGAGATGGAGAACACATAACTGTCTGAAGGCGGGGCCATTACTCGACGCCAATAACATCTGCACCTCCTGGGAAAAAAATCGAAGCTGTGATGTTGATCGTGGAATACGCCGGCGGTGGCAAGTCCACACGGGGGCGTCTAGTCTCGATTCAGAGTCGCTAAGAAAGGCCGGTCGTGGTTTAATACTAGTCGCAGCTACTCGCAAGCAGCCAGCGCAGCCTGAAATGGAGGCTAATTAAGACGATTTTACGT